CATAAAACTTTTCATATCCTCTCACTACCTCAGCAACTCTAGACCATCAATTATTTATTCTTCCTTGTCTTAAACTAGCCCTATACTGACTGGTTGATGAAGACAAAAACAAATGAAATGCTCTGCCTACACCATTATTTGATTTATCGCTGACCTCCTTATCACAAAAAACCATCTTGTAAGGATATATTACACTCTGCTTTGTATTTTCTTCACTACAGTATGCTTTAGTCCTTCGCTTGCACCAAGTCATTTCTCTTGAACACTAACAGCTTCCTAGTTGGCCTATCCAGTGGACTCTTTTCAGTGTTTATATTGTTTGGTCTTTCAGCAGTATTTGTCAATACTGACCACATCCTCTTTGACTTGTCTTTAGCACCAGTGTATCTCTCATGATTTTTCCTTTTTCCTCTTCCCTCCATCTTCTTGAATATTGCTATTCTTCTAGCTTTCTTCATAATCCTTTTTCCTTTATATTACCCTTTTTCTGAGAAGAGTATGCTCATGCCTTCCAATATTTTATGTTCCAATATTGATGATAAGCAATTTAATATATCTTCAGCTTAGCTCCCTTTCCCTCTCACCAGTCAGACTCACTTTTCAGGCTCATTTGGCACCCTACTATCCTAACTCAATATTTCAAAATTGATTTTATCTTTCCAATAAACTTGTACTTCTTACTATTGCAAAGACAGAATAAAGACTCTTTAATACTTATGGCAAGATGACTGAGATGAAAAGGTGAATAAGTAGGAAAGTGATTTGGAAAATTTAATTGATTCAACTGTTATTCATAAAGTATGTGGGGCCCAGGGAAGGGAGGAGTATGTGATGACTTTCAGATTTCTTAGTGTAAAGGAATTCACCTCAGGTCAAGAAATTTTCTGTAGAATTTTCATTTGGAGATGTGGATGAATAGGCATATGGTTACAGAAATCAGGGAAATAGTTCAGACTAGAGATAGAAACTTCTGTTTTAATAGCATATGAAGCCATGTGGATGGAAGAAGTTCCCTTGGGAGAGTCAAAGTTCAAGGACTAAAGAAATAGTTGAAGAAACCAAAATAGGAAACTATCTCAAACATCAGAGTACAGAATATTCAGGAGACAGTGATCAAACTAATGCTTCACAGATAGCAGCTTAGTAAAAACTTGGAAGTAACTCCTAAAGTTTTGTCTTTGGAATAATGTAGGAAATAACTCTAATCCTAGTTTTGAAAAATATGAATAATTGTATGGAGACAATATGTTATTAAAAAATCCTCATATACTGAATCCTTGTAAAAGTTATGACACATTTTGCATAGAAAAAATACATGATGACTTTTCTGACAACCCAATAATATTTTGCTTAAAATGTTAAGTTCTAAACTTGTCTACTCATTGGTGATTGTTTAACAGGGCTGAGATCTTAGACTAAACACTGGAGACAAACTTTAGCAACTACTGGGCTGTTGGGAAGTCATGACACATTTTTTGCATAGAAAAACATAGAAAAACGTCATGATTTTCCTGACAACCCGAAACACTATTTTACATAGGGCTGTACCTGCTATTTAACCAAGCGATGTGTAATAGGTACTTGCATGTGCTTGAGTTCCCCAAAAATCAGTTCTATGGCAAAGGCACCTCTATCTCTAGCAATCATCTATCACATGCTTACTTTTGAATTTAGAGCCTGAATAAGGGGCATTGTAGCCCATGAATGCACAGAACAGGTGCAAAATAAATGCTCGCTGAATGGCATGACATTATAGCATTAACACTTCAAAACCCATTTGATGCCGGCCAGGTTAACAGCTTCAGTTTTATTAAGAGATCAGCATTTTAGATCTACATACCTGAACTTGATCACCTGAGACTTGACGAAATCTTCCCTTAATCGAGATTTATGAAATGCATTTTTCACCTGTTAGAAAAATATTCAAAATATGTCAGCAAGAACAGTTTTCTAAATTCTACAAATTAATTCAAAACTCTATAGAAAATTGAAAAACAAAACTAAAATAATTGGCTAAGATTTTATAATGTGCTAAACCTGAGAAATCTTGAAGGATATTTTTCGATATCCTCCTCAGTGATTTCAACTAAACTCTGCCTTTGGAATGAGAGGAGCTGACAAATCACAGTGAGGCCGTAAGTGGCATCTGTTGTATCATATTCAGAAAGAGACCAAGGAGAATAAACATACTGTTTCTTGAAAAAGAATAAGCGTTTATACCCTGAGATAAGGACTAAGGAAATGTAATAACTTTGCCAAGCAATGACTGAATTGTAGAAATGAGTTAATATCAGGACCAGCAAATGGTGTAATGGCTACGTCACTGGACTCCATGTAGTCGACTGCGGTTCAAGTCTCGGACCCAGGGGCTTAATCTCATGCTGGTCATGTGTGTATGCGTGCCCAAGATCCCGAGAGGAGAATGGAGAAGGGATTGCAGTGTGACCATCCCCTCTGGGGGTGATTTCTCGCTTTCTGTCTCTCTGTCTCTCTCTGTCTGTCTGGTGAGTGCACGCACCCTATAGCAAAAACCTCTCAAATAAGAAAAAAAAAAAAGAAGAAGTTAATGTCATATGATTCCCAGACATATGTAAACTGGTTCCCAATTATCCAGGTATAGTGCATACCCAATACAGCACTCAAAATGGTCTTAGGAAGGCCTCTGTAAACTGGGATACTTACCTAACACATCTATGTGGTTTACTCTAACAAGATGGAAAGGATGTATTTTGTAAAGAGAGTTCTTGCTTTTAAATAAGAATTCTAGCCAGTTAAAATTTTTGAATTAGGATTTCAGGTTTAAAAAAATCTGCAAGTATAACAGTCCTCCAAAATGTTTGCTTAAAACAGTGGAATTAAAGTATATACTTATTTTTGTGCAAAAAATGTTTGAAATTTATGCACAACTTTTTCTTATGTATTTTTCATGAACTTTTTGAACACCTCTCATATTTTCTTCTTTCAGTTTGCGGTTATTTACCAAACACAGTACTATAAGCTGGTGATTACTTTGAAAAACAAAGAGCCTTTTTATTCTTTCTTTTTTAAAAAAAATTATTTTATTTAGCTTTATTTATTATTATTATTATTTTCCCCAGGTTTGATCAGAAAGAGGCAGAGAGAGAGAGAGGGAAAGTGAGAAAGCAAGCCACCAGGTTCAGGACTGGAACTGTAGTTGGCCATGTGGGATTCCAGTACCTTTAACCACCATGCCACCTGCTAGCCCTTTATTCTTTCTTATATTGGGTCAAAAGAGTAATGACTCATTTTTGCATAGAAAAACAGAAAAATACATCATAACCTTTCGGGCGATCCAATATTTCCTTGATTCCTGAGTCTTTGGCCTCATGAACAGTTGCTATAACTATAAGCCAAATCACCATAGTACAAATAAGTTCTCTAAACAGAATGACAGTATTCATTTAGAATTTTTTGCTTAAGGGCTTCTTTTTTTCAAGTGTTATAAAAATTATGATTTACTTTCAGGACCAGCAGATGGTGTAATGGTTATGTCACTGGAATCCCATGTAGTTGACTGTAGTTCAAATCCCGAACTCAGGAACTTAAAACTCACTCTGGGCACATGTGTGTGCAAGCCCAAAATCCCAAAAGGAAAATGGGGGAGAAGAGATTGCAGTGTGGCCATTCCCCCTTGGGGGGTGATTTCTCACTTTCTGCCTCTCTGTCTTTCTAGTAAGCATATGTGCCCTAGAGCAAAAATCTTAGAAAAAAATTATTATTAACTTTGAAGGTATTGAACAGTCTTATCAATATTTCTTTAGATTTGGTTCAGTCTGGGGCCAGCTCCCTAGGGCAGCAGTTAAATGGTATAAATTCCAAGCTTGAAAAACATGCTGCTCTCATGTGCATGGGTGCCCGAAATCCTGATGGCATGGAGAAATAAAAGAAAAAGAACTGTAGCATGACTATATACCATTGGGAGGGGGTGCGTTCTCTCTGTCTCTCTTTCTCTCATAAGCACATGCATCCTCTGGCAATTAAAAAAATATCTATTTAGGGACTGGCAGTTGGTATGGTAGTTAAATGCACACGACCCCCACACAGCTGACTTCAGGCAAAGTCCTGGACCTGGCGGCTTGCTTTCTCACTTTCTCTCTCTTTCTCTCCTCTCTCTCTTTCACTCTGTCCTTCTCTAGTCGAATTAAAAATAAATAAATAAATAAAGTTAAATAAAATAATTCTTTAAAAAAATGTTTAGACTTAAATAAGTCTAGATCTTATCACACTTTGGCAAATGGCACAAAGAACAAGGGAAATAGTTACATTTTCTTTTTCTTAATCCTTATAGTTCACTTCCTTTCCTTTATTTTATGTATGCTTTTAGTCTTAGAGAATAAATTTATATCTTTCTCTGATTTGGTATTCATGAGTACAAATGTAACCAGAATTTGACCTCCTCCTCAGCAAAGTGGCCAAACCCTCAGACTTCCAGTATTCTAGGAAATTTATCAGAGGGGTGGCAAGGAGAGATTCATTTCCATTTTAGTTTTATTTGGTGTATTGACACTGGAAGACACCTTGGTAAATATTAATCTAACACCTTAATTTTGATTTAACTCATTCAGAATGATAACATGATATGCCAGTGACACATCACTACCTTGTAGATGGTCCTAGAATTAGGTGTCCTAACTAATTTGGTGTTTTTTCTATCACAACATGCCACTCACAAATTATCAGGAAAAAGTCCAAAATTCTTCTTTTTATTGTAAAGAGGTTTTTGCTAAAGGGCGCATGCATTTGCCAGAAAGACAGAAAGAGACAGAGGGACAGAAAGCGAGAAATCACCCCCCAGGGGGGATGGCCACGCAGCAATCCCTTCTCCTCCATTCTCCTCTCGGGGTCTTGGGCACGCACACACATGCGCCCAGCGTGAGCTTAAGCCATTGGGTCTGGGCCTCCAACCATGGTTGACTACATGGGAGTGCAGTGACATAACCGTTAAGCTAACTGCTGGTCCCCAAATTATTTTTTAAGTAATCTGATAATGATGAAAAGTCATCACTCAGGTCCTTGATCTTTTGTCTCATATTGATAAATTTTCTAGTTTTTTACATGTTTAGTTTATCCCTCAAGATGAATATTGATGCTTTGAGGATAGAGATGAGTGCCCATGGATTTCTTATAGACTCATTATCAAAAATGGGTCCAAGTTAGATATTTTTAAAAACTAAAATACTATTCAGGTATGTGTATGAATATTTTTGACCATGCTAATCTTTTGTTCTTTAGGAAGTCTGGGATGCAGCAACCATATTTTGGGCCACCCTTATATTGTCAGAATGTATGGATTCTGCTGATCAAGAGTGTAGTGCTAGCTGAGCAAGGATGAATGGGAGAGACATAAGTAAATTATGTAAGGCCACTTTTCAGCCTTGTAAGGCACACTCTTCTAGCTCATGTATTGTCAGTTTTGTTTTATATCTTTAAGTAGGTCATTTCCCCATTTTGCAAAGATATGCAAGAATCAGTTAAATAAACGTTTTAGAAAGTATAATACTTAAAAATATGATACACAGTACAGTAAGTACTCTAGATTTGAAGGAAAAATTGCTTACCATTAATTCAATTCTTCTGCTCATTTCTGTAAAATTTTTAGAAGCCTCTCTTCCAAAGTCTTTATATAGTTTTTCACTTGTGAATGACAATGTAGTATAGTAATTGTAGGTCTTCCTTTGATCTACAAAGAAAGAGGCAAAAATTCATATGATTATTTCCCCACTTGGTGGTTACTAGAAAGACTGAATCAGGCAGGAATGCTTCTACCCCAGATCATCAACTTCACCATGCTGCCCCAGGCCTCAGAGTTATCTCAGAATAAAGACAACAACATGCATCATCATATGATTTAGAGGATAAAAGAAATGCCTGGTATTCCTGGAGTTGTTGTATAAACACTGCGCTGGAGCTGTGGGCTGGTTACTCACGTATTATCCATTCCTGAATAAGCCACAAGAGATAGCAAGTCACGCCATCTGAGCACACAAACAGAAATGGATTCAAAAGCTTCCCAAGGGTGAATGCATTTTTATTTTCCAAAAGTTGATATCCCCCTTCAGTCCACTACTCATCAATTCTGGCCACGAGCTCTAGTGTGTGAGAAAAATTTATTTTGGCTAAAGAGGGAGATGAGAGTAGGAATTAAAATGCTGAAGATTCAGTACATAGAGACCAGCAGTTAGCGTAATGGCTATGTTGCTGGACTCCCACGTAGTCAACCATAGTTCGAGTCCCGGACCCGATGCCTTAAACTCACGCCAGGCGCATGTGCGTGCGTGCCCAAGATCCTGAGAGGAGAATGGAGGAGAAGGGATTGCGGCATGGCCATCCCCCCAGGGGGTGATTTCTCACTTTCTGTCTCTCTGTCTCTCTCTGTCTGTCTGGCGAGTGCACACGCCCTATAGCAAAAACCTCTCAAAAAAAAAAAAAATCAGTACATAGACCTTTAGGGAACTGGTGCTGCCCTTTGGCAGAGCTTCCTAGGGACACTATAGTTTCACCTGGCTTTCTTGTCGCTCCATTTATTCTCTATCCATGGTGACTTCTCTGCTCCTTAGCCACTGTCTCCACTGCCTGAGTCGTTTAGGCAGCCCGTATTTTTTTACCTGCTGAAGAGCTAATGCAGTATAGCTTTTCCTTCACCCTCCTACACATGAAGCAAGCACAGGGCCCAGGGAAGAGTCATTTGCTCAATCAATAAAATTAACGCTGACTACTTTTCTGTAGGAGACACTATTACAGGAAAATGGAGTGTGCTTCAACCACTCAGTCTCTCTTCTTTTTCCTTCTGTTCCATTCTTTTCCTCTTCCCTAACTAACTAAAGGAAAGTACTTTGAGCACCACAGTCCCAGATATCTTTACTTACTGCATTTAATTTGTGATAACTCCATAGGAAGACACTATTATTCATATTTAAAGACTATAGTCTGAGAAATGTAAATGACTTGCTCAACCCCAACATGACACAGCCAGAAAAAGACAAGCCAGGGCCTAACTCCCAAAGCACAGACTCCTTTTTTTTAAGAGAAATTTTTGCTGTAGGTCAGATGCACTTGCCAGAGAGAGAGTGAGAGAGAGAGACAGAAAATGAGAAACCAACCCCAAGAGAGTTGGCCATGCTGTAATCCTTTCTCCTCCATTCTCCTCTCAGGATCTTGGGCACACATGCATATGCACCCAGTGTGTTTTACACCACCAGGTCCAGGACTCAGAGCTGAGACTTAGTATGTGGGACTCCAGCGACATAACCGTTATGCCATCTACTGGTCCCAACACAGACTTATTCTACACACTATTTCTTGGAATGAAAAAGAAAACCAAAGTCACTCATTGAAGCTACAGGTAATATTTTTGGTTATGTAACTAAGCATATGTCAAATAGCAAGGGTCTAGAGAAAAATGTTAACAGACCCTTTACAGTCTTCAACCTTTAAAAACAAATTAAAGAGACCAGTAGGTGGCATAGTGAGCCAGACTCCCACATTATCAACCATGGTTCAAGTCCTGGACCATGTGTGTGCATGCCCAAAATCCAAAGAGCAGAATGGAGGAGAAAGGATTGTGTCATGGCCATCCTCCCTGGGGGGTGATTTCTCTCTTTCTCTCTCTCTCTTTCTCTTTCACACACACACACACACACACACACACTCACACACACACACACACTAATGGCAAAAACCTAAAAATAAAACAAAACAAAAAACATTATATTGAGTCATTTGAAATTACTATTTGTGTAGGTCAAAATGATAAAATATTGGCCCAACCTGGTTGTGTTTCTCCACTATACACACAAACCGAATAGCAGACTGAACTGCAGTGTGGAAAGTCACATGGTCAACTGCAGGTTTGGATACTCAGGGATACTTGGAAAGATACCAGGTGTGGTATGTGTGTGCATGCCCAGGATACTAATGAGCTGGAGGACTGGGGAAAGGAAGGGTCACGATGTGACAAAACCCTGATGAAAGTGCTTCTCTCTCTCTCTTTGTCTTTCATGGGTGTGCACTCTCTATCATGAATAAAACAAATAAACTTTCTAAAAAATGATAAAATATGGACAATTTCATATGGTTCAGCCAAATGACCAACTCATTATCCGTAGTAAGCATTTCACTTTGCTGTATAGACTTAAACAGTCCACTAAGCATTAAACATATACGCAGCAAACCAGCATTATCTGATAGGTGTAGTTGTTAAAAACTGTTGCTGAGCAGACCAGCCTTATAGCTAGCTCCCACATGGCTGACCACATGATTTGAATCCTGGCTTTGGTGACTTAGAAACCATGCCGAGTACATGCATGTGCTTGCCCTAAATTCTGACAAGGTAGAAAAATAGAGGAAAAGGGATTGAAGCATGACCAAATCCCATGGGGGGGTGCTTTCTCCCTCTCCTTCTCTGTCTCTTAGTCTCTCTGTGGTGAGTGCACATGCCCTTTGGCAAAATAAAATAAAATAAAAATAAATGAGGGTCGAAATAATATTTTTCAAAGTAATCATACTCACCTACAGCTGTCTATTTGTGCAACAGATTGCTTTGGTTTGGTTATACGATGTGTCAACTCCTAACTGCCCATGTGGTACATACACTCTGTTCTTAATTTGTATCCCAAAACAGAGAATAGGTCAGGAATATAAGACAGTAACATGCGTCATAATCATCCTGTTTATTCAGGTGTCCCTTATGGGCAGTGGATGTTGTGTGTTCCATATTACTCAACTGGTTATCCAAACAATAGGAACCAGAACAGGTTACTGGGAAAATCATGCCAAGTTTTACATTGTATGCACATAAGTAAGACTTATAAACCCTTAAAAGCTTGGTTTGAGAAGAAGCAAAGAATAAGTAGTAAAGAACATTTTCTCACCAAGTATTTCTAGGGATTCCTTGTAAAGTCAGATAAACTGATGTATTGGACCCTTTCCCTAAAATATCATAGATATGAATCATTTATTTTTATTATTCAGTGTTCAATAAACATTTACTAAGCATTTATTGTGTTCCAGAATCCTTTTGAATTCTGGAAACACAAGAATAAGTAAAACATAGTCCTTGGCATCCATGGGGAGGAATGATGATGCCTACAGTGTAATGAAACTCAATATACTCAGAATTATAGACTTGTAAAATTATTTCAGCAGGTGGTGTAGTGGTTAAGGTGCGTGGTTGACCATAGTTCGAGGCCTGGACCCAGCAGCTTGAAATTCACACTGGGTACATGGCTGTGCATGCCCCAAATCCCAAGAGGAGAAAGAAGGAAAAGAAATTGCAGCATGGCCATCCTCCCTGGCAGGGGGTGGGGAAGGTAGTTTCTCACTTTCTCTCTCTCTCTCTCTCTCTCTCTCTCTCTTTCTCTCTCTCTCTCTCTGTTTGTGTGTGTGTGTGTGTGTGTGTAGTGTCTGGCAACCACACACACCCTATAGCAAAATTCTCTCTTAAAAAAAATATATATATATTTCAGCAATTCATTTTTGTGACAAGAGTTAATAAAATTCCTGAGTACTCTAGAAAATCTGTTATCAAAATGCAGACATTCCACATTCGAACATCTCGATGTAGGGATCAGGAGTGGGACAATGGCAATATAGCAGGACTCACATGGGAAAGTGTTCCAAGTTCATGTTCTAGGAACTCTGAGAGCACACCGGACCCATGAGCACACGCCCATGATCTTGACTAGCTAAGACTGGGAGTGAATTGTGCTGTAAGGTCCCCTGTTGGGATGACTCTCTCGCCTCTTTCTCTCTCTCACTCATGGAAAAAAGTGCATAAAGAAACTTGAAAGAGAGAGAGCGAAGGAAGGAAAGGAGGGGGAAAGGAAGTAAGTTAGTTAGTTTAAGAAAGAGAAAAAGAAAAATATACTTTAAAAAAAAGAAAAAAGAAACAATCTCCATGTATGCAAATTCTGCTGAAAAACAAAAGTCTTGGCTTTAAGTAATTTTTTTTGAAGTTACTGAGAAATGACCCATCTTGTCTTGGAAATTGAGATTGGACTTGTGTAGATAGTGGAGGAAGATAACCAGTTTATGGATCACTCTCTTTACAGGAAAGCAACTTCAGCAGATTCCCAGTTAAATTAGAATCAAGTGATTAGCTTCTATGGTTACAAGGCTAGGAATATCAAAGCATAATCTAGTCTCAGTGGGAGATATTAAACTAACAGGTCGTAGTTGACTCAACTAATTAAAACCCAAGGAAGAAGAGAAAGAAACTTTAGAAGGTTGTTATACCCTGGAAGAACAGTTCTGAAGTACCCTGGAGACCTCTTTAATAACAAAGCAACTAGCAGTTCATCTATAATAGCAGTGAGTACCCGGTAACTGAAGTGTGAACCTCTTTGTAATTAACCTTCTCAGCAGATATTATCCCATTAGTCATTTACCATAAGTCCCAAGATGAGGTTTTAAGTAAGAGAAATAGACATTAACAATATGAAGGGACCTTCAAAAAAGTTAATAGAAAATGTATATTATGAAAAGACTATGCATGGATTTCAAAATGTTCTTGCAACAAAATAAACTCTTACTTTAATTCTTTTTTTATGAAGCTTTTGAAGTCTTGGTATGGAACAGAGCCTGCTTCTCCATGATCCTAGATTAATTAATTGATTTGTTGGGATGTAAGGATTTCAATGAGTTGAGGTTATTTTCAATCAAGGTGATTGCTATGTGACCTCAAAAAACTCAAGACATTGGTTCTTAGCTATCCTTTGGTTTACTTCTGTGTAGGACTTAATTATCACGTATTAATGATTATGAAAACTAGTATGCTATTCCCAGAAGGAAGCATTGCTACATCAAAGAAAGAAGAAAAAAATCCTCCTTGGTTTATAAGAATCACATGAGAGAGTGGGTAAGCAGTTCTTTGTACTAGCTATACAAATGAATGATAGTAATGAATGAACAAGCCTGAGGCAAATGAAAACAGGGAGGTACATAAAGAAAGAGATGAGATAACTCAGGTGATGCCAGGGTAGCGCATACTTACTGTATCTCACATAATGAACAATGAGTCCAATACACACTGCCAGGACTATCAGGGATATAAAGGTGAGGAGGCCAATAACCCAGGGCTCCAAGCAAGCTCTTTTCCTGGCCCTCACCGCAGCTGGCCTGAGGAAGAAAGTCAATAGTTGGATTATATCATAGTGCGCACCACATCCATTTTTTTAGGCCAAATAGATATTTCTGGGAAGAAAGGACATTCAATTAAATGGTAGTAGTTTAGAACATATTCTGGCTCTGGCTGTCTGACTTTAGGAACATATGAATTTGACTTCTCTATGCCTTAGTTTCCATGTCAATAAAATGGAAGTGATAATAATATTGAATAGGACCTACTTCATAGGATTATTGTGAAAGGATTACGTGAAATCCAATACGTAAAGTACCTAGAACAGTCCTTGGCATGTAGAAAGAGCTAAATGCTAGCTATAATTTGCTGAACCAACTACATACAAGCTATATATAAGAATGCTTCAAGCCTGTTTTTAGCACTCTAGAGTCTTAAACAGCTTGTGAAATGTGCTACAGCTTAAGCTGTACCAAGTTCCAGATAGAGTTTCTTATTGTATTCTCCTTCTGGTATTTTTATTTATTTCCCAACCAAACTTTGAGGATACATACAAGAGATAACCAGAAGCATCTTTCTGGAGAACCTGAGTTGTTGAGCTAATATTCATCTCTAAGCTTCAGTGATGCTGCAGAAAGTTCTTCCTGCATGAGATTCTTTCAATCCTCCCATTCGTTCTTCCTCCAAAATCACATTAATAAAAAATATTGAGCAACCTGGTTTTAATTGGTTATAATAGTGAGCAAACTCAAAAGTCAGAGAGAATGAAAGAAATCATAGCTGGTTCGAATGTTTGAATCCGATACTGTTATTTTAATGTCTAAGGTGTCTGCCCTGCTCATACAGTGACATATAGTTTTCTGGAGGGCTACCTATCTGGTGCATAATTACTAGGGAGGAAACGTGTTCTCCTAGAGGAGTTCTGGGCACTGTATCAGGATAGAAAGGATTCTAAGTCTAGTCCTTCCCAACCAGCTCTGCAATTTGGACAGATCATTTAAACTCTGAGCTAAGTTTTTCCATCAATCAATAAAAACATAATACACACTCTTTCTACAGCTGAAGGACCCAGACTAAGTTCAGGAATGTATAACCTTCTTGCAAATTACAAAGCATGTGCCAGTAAATAATTTTTGCTTACAGAAATCAAGGAGACGCTGTTTCCTGGTGATATAAGTGCAGGAAGTGATGATGTTATCATGTTTGTCCCTGCTACACCATTTACTTCCTAGCTCTTCCTGGACACAGACTAAGGGAACATTATCACAGAAGTCAATGGTGTCATCATTGCTACATGACTCTGCCCCTGCTGAAGGCATTGGGATGTAGTGGGAGGCTCCAGGGACTCGCGGTCTCCTCTAGTTTCTGTGATTTTCCCATGGGACTGTAGCCAGGGAAACTTCATCTTCCTTCCTCCAACCTCTTTGATCTCCAGTTCTCCCTTGAGTGGGATTCCAAACACCTGTTCCTAGAATGACAATTACTGCAATATAAAAAGACTTCTCCATGAGGAGGTTATATCTTATGTGCAATTGTGCCTAAGAAGTCCAAAAATTGACTCTAGTTTCTTCACCTCTGAATGCTTGCTATTCGTCTATTACAGAAGAAAGAAGATGTGTATAAGAGACGTAAGCAAAACTCGGGAGACTATGGGGAGGGAAGGGCTACTCAACTAATGTCAGACATGCCAGATGAAGACTATAAATGCATAATTGTAGAAAACATGATGAAATTATCAAAAGTATATGATTGCTACATAGAATTGTGAAATATTAAACAATTTATATTTGTTCTACAATAACTTTTAATCAAGACAGAAAAGTAAACAATTCAGTATTAACTTGATGAGGTAGATACATGTGTACTAAGATGAAAAATGTTAATGGTAAATTTAATGAAAATATACTGCAGAATAATATTATTCTGTATCATTGTTTTAATAAATAATAAAATTATTCAGTTGTCAGGAAAGTTATGACGTATTTTTTTCTATGCAAATATGCATCATGACTTTTTTGACAACCCAATATATATGTCTAGGTATAACAAAATATATAGAAGGAGACACACCAAATTTTTAAAAAAATTTTTAAATAATCATTTTATTTATTTAACTTTATTTATTTACTTATTTTTTAATTTTACCAGAGAGAGACAGAGAGAGAAAGAGAGAGAAAGTGAGAAAGCAAGTCACCAGGTCTGGGACTCGAGCCACGGTCAGCCATGTGGGAGTCCAGCGACCTTAACTACCATGCCACCTGCTAGTCCCAACACACCAAATTATTATTATTATTATTATTATTATTGGAGAGATTTTCGCTATAGGGCACGTGCACTTGCCAGACAGAGAGAGACATAGAGACAGAAAGTGAGAAATCACCCCCTCAGGGGGGATGGTCACGCCACAATCCCTTCTCCTTCATTCTCCTCTTGGGATCTTGGGCACGTACGCACACGCGCCCAGCGTGATTTTTAAGCCACTGGGTCCGGAATGCGAACTGCGGTTGACTACGAGGGATTCCAGTGGCATAGCAATAACGCTAACTGCTGGTTCCCCAACACACCAAATTATTAACAGAGGAAGTAGAATAAGATAAGAGAGAGAAATTTTCTTTTTAGTTTATGTGTTTTTTTTGTTTTATGGTGAAATTTCTAAACAAAAACACATAGTGGCTTTTGTATTAAATTAGAGTGAGAAAGAAAGAGATATTTTTAAAGAAGAAAAATTAACTGAGGAAGACTATGCATTCATATTTTCATGGAGTTCACATCACTACTGTGTCTAAGATACCACTGTGCCCACTTCTTCTGACCCCTCCTCTTCACCTCCCATAACTCTTTTAGTGCTATATTTGGTGACTTAGAAGACAAGACAGCACAGGATAAAGAGAAAAGAGAACCTAGTTCAAAACATTTTGAATAAACAATGAAGAGAGTATCTTTCCTAGTCCTGTCACCAACTTACTTATTATATGATCTGTACCAGCAGATTCTATTCTCTGTGTTATTTTCTCCATATGAAAAACAGGCATGATAATTTCAGACTCTTCCTGAACTAAAGAGGTATGTAGAGATAAAAATGATAAATCATTTTAGTTCTTTGAACTCCCAAATGGAAAAAATCATTGTATAAATAGCAAAGGAGATTACTATTATTGTAATTATTTTGATTGTTAATTATAGTGGTAATGACTATATTACTGCAGTGTTTATCATTCAAATCAGTATCTCCTCCTTCCCCATCCTGTATGCCATTGCTTTTCAAACTAATTCACCCTGTATGTTTTCCCACCTCCCATTTTAATGAGGCATAATTGACCCTGTACTTAATTAATTTTCTCAGCAAGTGATTCAAAACTGAATTGCTCCAAATTAAATGTAGTTGAAAATATCCTCAAAAATTAGCAAAGTGAAGAACTAAATCTATTTTATATGTCAAGACATTAGTGTAGTTAACCCTTCCCTAAACATAAACATTTGTCTAATCATTATTACCACTTATTGAAACTTAGCTGGCGTTCAGCAGATGGCATAATTGGTTACATTGCTGGACTCCCACATAATCGACTGAGGTTTGAGTCCCACATCTGGTGGCTTAAAACTCATGCTAGGTGTGTGTGCATGCAAGCCCAAAGTCCCAAGAGGAGAAGGGAGGAAAAGGGATTGCAACTTGGGCATCCCCTTGGGAAGGGGCGGGGTGGGGGTGATTTCTTGCTTTCTGTCTCTCCAGTAAGCGCATGCGCCCTATAGAAAAAATCTCTTTTATACAAAACAAAACCTTATGTGAACCTCTTCACTTAAAGATCACTTTCAGACAGATTGGTTGAATTCTAATACTTTAGTACAATAGTATCAAATTGCTTTATTTTTATCCTTTTTTCAATCTGGGAACATATGCAATTCATGACAAGTCAGCTGAATACAGCATTGAAGTATGGGTTCATTTTTATTGGCCGCAAATTGCCAGAAGACATGTCCAGAGTTGCATTATAATTTTCAGTTCTTAAGGTGTCATCTTTATAATTGTGCTAAAAAAGAAAAAGATAGGGGCTAGCAGATGGTGTGGTGGTTAATGTGCTGGAATCCCACATGGCCGACCACAATTTGAAGCCCGGACCTGGCGGCTTGGTTTCTCATTTTCTCTCTTTTCTTCATAATGGTAAGCAATACTAATAGTCTCAGATGCAATTTATCAGCTCAGTCCCACTGAACTCTTTTGAATGAACGTATTTACAGTATCTATAACATTTGTGGTTGCAAAGCATTATTATCAGCTACTTAAGCCAAAGTTCAGCAAACTGTCTTGTAAAGGTCCAGATAATAACTGTTTTAGACTTTCTGGGCTACAGATTCTCTGTTGTAGCTAGTCAACTCTGCCCTATACAGTCATCCAATGACTATCTGTACACAAAAGAGCATGGCTGTGTGTCAATGAAACTATTTCCATGCATGAAATTTGAATTTTATACAATTTTCACCTGTCATGAAATAATTTTCTCCTTTTTATGTGTTTTCAACCATTTAAAAATACTGTACAAAAAAATCATTCTTAGCTCAGGCATTATATAAAAACTGGTGATTCAGATTTGGTCCTTGGGTTGACTTGAGTAATAACCAGCAACTCAATGCTGTGTTGGAAAGCTGTAATGATCTTTCCACCTTTTTTCTTTATTTTTTCCATAAGCGCAAGAGAGACAGACCTTCCCAACAGAGTCTCCACACTGCTCTGCACTCATAGTCTCAGCAGGACTGGGTCATGGGAATATGAACAAATTGAGAGAGATCCCAGGACACAAACCTGACACTTTTCCTATGTGGGTCCAGTTTTGTTATCACTGTCACCATCTGACCCAAGTCTTCATTTTCCAGACTCATCAGCATGGCAAATCTAATGTACTTTGCCTCTAATCCTATTACCACCAACTGGTTTGGCTATACTCACTACAACTTGTCCTGTAACTTGATAACTTGTCCCAGTCTCCAAATCATTGTCTATAACAGTAACTGTCTTTCTAGAAATGATAGTAGACAGTGGCTTAGACTACTTAAGACCTAAGTCTGCGTCCCTTAGCCTGATATCCTCCTTTTCTCCGTGAAGTCTTGCCTTGGTTCCTGCTGTCTTCTATGTGGAATAACAGCATCTGTTATTTGCTTGCAGTATGAAATCCTGTTCTTTTAAAAGCCAGTTCAAAAATCCCCTCTATTTTAGTAAATCTGTTCATCCCTAAGCATCACATTGAAGTGATTTTGAGCTCCTTGAGGACAGGATCTGAGTTTTATTTCTCTCTAGATTCTCTGACCACTTGCTCAAAAAATGTTCACAGAAGGAATTGATGAGGTTGATTAAATCGAACTGAACTGATAATTTGTCAATATCACAATATAGATCTTGGTCTCTCTCAACGCACTTGGGGTCTACCACAGTCTTAGAAAAGAATTTGGAATGTCACACACAAAGAAAGTCAGGCCAGACATTGTGAAGAATAATTATTTAAGCCTGATTCTAATAAAACATTTTATGTAGTAATCAAGCTTTGTGGTTAATAATTCTCTACTTAACTTGTATTTTAAATATATGATATCCTACTATAAATTCTTTATCTATACTGTGAAAGTGATATTATAGTACAGAAAGTGACAAATCCAAATAAGGAGACTAATATGAAGAGACACATTATTTCAGGGTCATTGAATGTCTTTATGTTACGATACCAAATAAAAGCATAAAGAAATATCACAATGAAGAAGCAGCATAGTTATAACACTTTATAACATTGCAGATTTCCTAAGTCAGTGCTTAAAATTTAAAATGTCAATTAATAAATATTTATCCAGTATGTACTATGAATTTGACCTTAGCTTAACCTACTTAATCCATACAAACACTTCAGATGCATGCCACTTTGTGGACCACGCATACCAGTAGACTTTGGTGAGATCATCAATCTTTCTCATATACTCTAGAACAAGACTATAAAAATATCCAAAATATAAATAAATTGAAATTTTGTACATGTGTCTATAAACCATATGCTTTTATCACTGTTTTTTTAAAAATAAATACAAGCAAAATGCTCCTTATTGAGTCACAAATAACATTTCCATCCTGTCCACTGATCTACAAAACACATCTATAAAATGTTTAATAACATCCAGTCAGGCCCTTGGACTAAATTATAATATGTACATTCTCTATAATGGTAATTATGAATAGTTTTTATAGAGAAATTACAGTTAGAACAATGTGGTGGTCTAATTACCAGACAGCTATTTCCATTTTCACTTTACATTACGACAAATGATGGGAAACTCGCAGTTT